GCAGAGAAAGACAAAGATAAATAAAAAACCAAATGGCGTCGTTATGTTGCCACGGCGACTCCGATTGCAATAAAATCCAGATCATATGAAATTTTCATCTTTATATAATACAGTTGTGGAAACCTTTTTTCCATATCTTTACTCATGGCGACGTAATTAATGCTCAAACTTGGGAGTTATCCCCCCAAAAAAATCCAGTCGAGCCACCTTAAATATTTTGCTCTCTTGCGCGTTTGTGAAAAGTTTGAATTGCTCTGTCATGTGCAAGCCGCCATGATGATTTGAGTGTTGTTTTCGCCGTTCTTCTTGGATTGATTGCTGGTTACTGTTAGCGATTTTAGCGGAGTTCCGGCGCGCGAAGCGCGCCAACGGAGCACCATGGGTAATAAAATTTGGTAAACCATCCATCCGAGAAAATTTGGTTATGACGTAGCGTACGCCCGTACACTCTTTGCGGGGGAGGGAAGGGAATCAGGTGTCAGCCCGTCCGGGGGAGGAGTATGTTATAAATCGCACGATGCATTTGTGCACCCATCTGTTTCTTGGCGGGAAATCGCACAAGAAATGACGTGGCTGTCGTCGCGTTCAAAAACATGTTTACTTCAACGGAGCTTCTTCATTGCATAAGGATTTTGCGTCCGGAGAGCTCAGTTTCTAGTAAACCGTTTCGAAGAAATTGTTATGGCAACAAACAATAGCGGATTGGATTCAAACTATTTGCTTGTAAGTGAAAAGCGACGGGGAAGAGAAGAAGAGAAAGGCATAGAGTAAGAATTAACAGGCGCGCTAGCTAGCGAAGAGGATTCAAGTGGAAAATTTATGCAGCATCTGCGACTTGTTTACTGATAGCTGAGGCTGACAGAGTTTTCAGTCATCTTTTGATCTTTTTGCACTGGATCTACAAAATGAAATACAGCAGCTATCAACATTCTTTTGTTATTTTTGGCTGGCTTGTTTACTGGGTTGTGGTTGAGAAATGCGCTGCACGACAAAAAGAAATCGGGAATCATCGTTTTCAGAAATAAGCTACTCTTAGTAAGCTTACTTCGCCTTGCTGGACCATGCGAAAAATCTTAAGCGATTCTGGCCTTACTTGGTGGGTTTCCGTGCTGCATCTCGACCAGTAAGCTTGAGTAATTTTATTGCATTTTATGTGGTTTCTTTTTTCATGTTTATGCCGTCATTTTACGCACATTTGTAAGGTTTGAATCAATTTCTCTGACCTAGTAAAGAACTTAAAAAGTCTTAAGACATTTTCTGACCGCGACTAGAAGAAAAAGTTCTGAAAAATAGTTTAGTTATCCTATTGTTTGTAAAAAGAAAACTTTGGGCGATATTCTTGCCTAGAGTTCATCGTGCAAAATAGCAAACACGGCGAAGGTGGCTTAAAACTTAAGGCTTAATTTAAATCTATTTGTGACTCAGCTTTACTCTCAAAACACGTCTTGGGGAATAAAAATTGTTCACCTTTAAATGTTTCTTTGTATTATATTTCTTGTCTTGATTGTTTGTCAAGTTCTCGTTCTTACATGATCGCTTTGCCAGTTGTTGTTTTCAGTCGTCCTTGAAGGCGTTGGTCACGCTCTACGTCCAATTTTTATGCTCTGATTGGTCAAAATTTGACAGGTGAGTTCATGCGGAAAATTTATGCAGCATCTTGAAACTTGTTTACTGTGACAGCTGAAGCTGACAGAGTTTTGTGTCAACTTGTGATGTTTTTAACTGTCTTTTTCTACTGGATGTACGAAATGAAATTCAGCTACTATCAAGAGTCTTCTGTTATTCATGGCTGTTGTCTATTGGGTTTTTGGTTGAGAAATACGTCGCCTGTCAAAGTCGGAAATACGATTTCGGATGGCATGGATTCGTTTTCGTTTTTCACCTTGCTTGATTGAAAAGTCTGAAGCGATGTAGCTTCCAGGAGCTGCCTGAGTAATTATTGTATTTGTGTTTGTTTTTTTCATATATCTAATTTCATGAAGCCGAGCGCAGTTTATGAGGCTATAGTCTATGCATGTTTGAATTAAGATTTGAGATAATGATCTGACCTATAGTATGAGGTTTGATTTAAGCTTGCAGAACTTTAAAAAGTCTTTAGTCGATATTTCCTCGCCGAAAATAGAAAGAAAAAACCGTTGCATTTTTATTTTGGCTGTAGAAAGAAAGCTTTGAGCAATTTTCTCGCCTAGAGTTCATCTTTGAAAACAGCAAACGCCGGGAAGCCGGCTTTAAAACATAAGCTTAGGCTTTAAGCATAAAGACTCAGGATTCTTAGAGACACTTTAATACTTAATTGTCTTCGTGAATGAAAATTGTTGTCTCTGTAAATGTTTCACCGAATTATATTTCTTTTATTGATTGTTAGTAGTCTCTCTTGAAATTTGCCGTGAATGTTTTCAGTTGCAGGTCAGTACTCAAAACGTCGCGAGTATTAAACGCTTGTTAAGTTTACACATCGTTATAAAACCATTAAATTAAAAAAACAAAATAAATTCTTTATTATGTTGAAGTGTAACTCTATTAATGTTCATTCAAACACTAGACAGCTTGCAACTGGCTGGCCGTTATATAGGTGATTTTGGAAATATTTTTAGCGGTTTCGCTAAAAGCCCACGCGTGCTTCGATCGTCCTGAAATTGAATGAGTGTAATTTATATTTCAAAACTGTGAAATACTGCATTCTGTCTGAGGTCTGTATGACAAAAACAGCGCCTCATAGTACTGTTTCACCTCAGACTGTCAGATGTGATGTATAAAAAGTATAAAAGGTTGGTTTACACGCCCGCAGATTTGTTAGCAAGATTTTGTAAAGCAAACTTGTCAAAAGGAAAAAATTCTGCCGGATTTGCTTTCCAAGTATTTGTTTTCCAGGCCTAATGTACTGTGATCAAGAGCCATTATGGACGTCGTTAAATGTGATCGAAGATGATTGCTATTTTTTGGGTGTACATATAAAGGCCGTCAACTCGATGTAAGGTTTGGTGCACTTTTGGACTGTTAGCAAATTATTTTTCTCTCAAATCACTTAGCCTTAATCCCTCAAAACAAAAGTCACATGAATGTGCTCTAAAGTGAACTGATTTGTGGAATACAAGTTTATTGTTTGATTGAAATTACAAATTTATTAATGGGAGCTTCGCTTTTAGCCCTGGCTAAATCTATATATTATCGGATTATTTTTTACTTCAACCTTTCTTCTTTGCACATTTCGGGGTCTACCCGGGTCTACCCTTGTTAGTTTTCCCATTACGAGCCGTTGCAAGTGTCTTGGAATTAAGGGATCGTCTCAGTCAAGTAGCACAACCACCGCGAAACGGGCTGAGAAAACATGCTGAAGCGGAAGCCGACGTGAAGCGAGTAACTCCAAATCTAGGTAGATTTTGTTCCATTTTAAACCAGAAAAGTTAAATAAGTTTGAATATTGTGATAACCTTTGGAAACAAAATATTTTTCATAACCCAGTGCGGAAACTGAAAGCGTGACTTTAAAATAATTTGTATGCAGTGTGTGCCATTTGTATGTAAATCTTTATGTAAACTTACGTAAGGGGATAAATTTGTTTGAAATCTCTACCAAAACACAAAACCATTATCGAAGATCTAGACAACATCATACAGGATTTTAAAACTGTATTTAGGGGGGAGGGGCTACTCACCTATTCGGGAATAATAACCGAAATATGTCATCCAACTTTATAGATTCTAAGCGATAATGACATGATTTACAACTATGTAAACATGTTCATCGCGTTTGTCAACCCTGTCATGGATGTTAGACTGACCGAGGCCAGGTCTAAAAATGGGTGTAGAAAATAGCATTTTGGGAAGGCTCAGATTTGGAGAACCGGGCGGCACACATCCACCAAGAATTTCTAGGAGTATTTATAACTTAAACTTATGTGTTGTGCTATTTAGCGATCTTTTGATCTTATTTTACCTTTCCTAGAGCTACCTAGCATAGTTTTTACCAACGTGGTCTGTAGTCCACATTTTATACCTAGTCTGTGTTTTATACCCAGTCCGCAGTCCGCAGTCCATATTTTATACTGACCGATAACAGACCATGTTTGACCCGAGGGAAACGACAGTAAATACCAAGCGTGGTCGGCTATTTCGAAGAACCTGCAACCAACAATAGCTAGCCTGTAACAGACGTTGTTTTAATTTCTTTTTGTTCTTTTCAAAAACATCGGGGAGCTCGCGAGCAAAGTGAGCGCGCGAGAACGATCGCGGAGTCTATTTTCTTCTTCCCCCGCCCCTAACCCCTTGCGCTGGGGTTCAATGAATCTTCCGCGGTTTATATTTTAGCACGCGCTCTCGACGGACTTTGAAGAGACAATAGAGGGTCTATGAACAGGCTAACAATAGCAGAAGTAAAAAGCCAGTGGATAGTTCTTGAATTACATACTCGGGATTTACACAATAATGTCAAAAGACCTTATGTTCGAGGCGGGTTCAAGGAACATGGTGTAAAAAAGAGTCATAAATAACGATTCTCAGATATTAAATCGCAATCAAGGCCAAGCTGAAACATATTTGCTGACTTCTTTCCTTAAGTCCTGGTCAATTGAATATTTTATATATAAAGGGGTCGCTTGTCCAATGTATAACGAACTTGTGCCAGATTGAACTAGTCTTTTCAAAAACGAAATACAAATTTATATATATATATCCTTTGTAGGCAATAGAGTTATGATCGTTATTGGTGGAGATGATAATTACAAGGACGAAGACGAGGAAGACAGAGAGTTCATTTCACGATGGGCCAAAAGAAAGATATCCTCGCAGTTTACCGAAGAATTCTTGGATGGAAGAAAAAGTTTCATCTTCTCTTGGGACAAGGAACACAGAAAAATTCACGAGAAAGCGTTGGTGCATTTCTTTGACCCGAACAAGAAAGGGCAGAAGTTTGAATATCATCCACCACCACGGAAGGCTGTCACAAAACCTGGAACACCCCCACGTCAAAGGGAAGTCGATCCAGCCACGAATTCAAGGCACTCGAAAGAGACGAAAAGTTCCTTTTATGAACAAAAGGATCGAAGTTACAAAATTGGAGGAAATAGCGGAAGCCAAGGGGCTGGGCCTCAAAGGGCTACAGGATCGACAATGGTTCCAAACCCTTTGAACTCACGGCCTCAAGAAAAGCTCTCCTCTATGATAGGGACCCCTAGGGAGAAAGGTCCAGAATTCAGTGCTGGAGGCACTGTTAGACCTAACATCCAAAGCCAGGAGGATAAGCCTTGGGCAACAACGTCGCTCACAAAACCGCCCCAGGAACCTATGGAAAGTAAGCAAATTTTACAGTCAGTTTTTCTTTAACTGAAATTAGTTTAATGTAATTTTTAACCAGTTAGCATTAAACGTATGTATTTTTGTGTTCTTATATACGCGAGTGAGTGAATGTAGGGGATGAATGAGCCCCTTGCTCTTAGGCTTTGAAACTCGTGCATGTCAGTTCGAGCGTTAAACGTGGAAGAGAACAAGTTGAATAAGTTGTTCAGGTGTCCAGAACGTACTTTCGAGTAGCGAATTTTAATAAAAATATAAAAATAATAATAATTTATTTCTTATTAGGCGCAAATTAACATCTGAATATGATCAAATGCGCCTTACAAATATAATAATACCTGTAATAATTCCGATAAAGTATACTTAAGAATACCTAAAAATTTGTAATCTAAAATTTATCAATCTAACTATAACAGGTAAAAGCCTTCCTAAATAAGTAAGTCTTTATTGTTCGTTTAAAAACCAAAAAGTTATCGATGTCTCAGGGGCAGCTATTTGGAATGATCTGTCACCCAGAGTTTTCTTTGTTTTTCCCATGCGCAACTGCAATAGTAGTTCTTCAGAAGAACGAAGCTAGTATTTACATTTCTCCTTTAATCGAACTAGATTGCAGATATAGGACGGCCCAAGTTGATATATTGCTTTGAACGTTAAAACTAAGATTTTAAACTCGATACGGTAGGCAACAGGTAGACAATGCAAAGGAAATAAGACGGGTGTAATATGATTAAACCTGGGAGTTGAGCATACGAGCCGGGCAGCACTATTTTGAATGCGTTGAAACTTACTCATGCGTACCGCGGGAACTTTATAAAGAAGACTTATTTAGCACAAACAGATACTGACCCGGATACTGCTGTCCTTAGTTGTCCTTCCCTTTTCTCCTTTTACCATCATAATCTGGGTAGTGGGTGAAATTCGTACTTAATCCTTCTCCTTTAGCACATTAAAGGTGTCACTGTTTTTCCTTTTACCTTCAGGCTTGGCGCTTCTTGGTTGTTGTCTTTCCGAGAAGGCCATACACGCTGTAAACCAAGTTCTTAAAAGCATTGGTCCTAAACTAAATCTTCATTCACAGCCATCAGTTATGAACCTTTCAACTGCCAAGCAAGTTAAGCAGTACCTAGAGAGACACTCTCTCCAGTTCTGTGTGTTGGTTGTGGATGGAGAAACAGTAAAAGACGCTTATGAAAATCTACCCGCACGAAAAGATGAATATGAAGAGCTTCTGAAAACGGCAGTGGAGAAAGTTGGTAAGATAATTGATTGCATGTGTATGGAGAGAAATGAACTTTTAGCACTTTTCTCAGTTTCTCATTACATTTGCGTACTTATTATATCAGGGTTTGAACAAAAAAAAACTTGAATCCTTAGTTTTGGGCAATTCAATATGAAACCACCCCACCTCCTCTTCTCTTTCCTCGCCTTTCCTACCACTAATTAGTTTCTTTCAGATTATACTTTTAGAAGGTACACATATCGAGAAAAAATATGGATTCAGTTTTGTAACATTCACCACTTTTACATTGAATGAAAACAGTTTCTTGATTTTCTTTTAAGTCTTATCATTACTCTTTAAAAAACAATTATTTTAATGAAACAATTTCTTGTCGGAAGTGAAGATGATGACCATGATGCTAAAGATGACAAGCCTTTTTAACAGTCGATCATCGAACAGTTTTTTAGTTATAGATATGCAAAATACCTGACAAAATCCTGACTGCAGTCGGCACATGATGACTGGAAAAATAAAATAATTAAAGCAATGTAAGATTATCTCAAAAGGATTATCGCAAAAGATAGTCTATCAGTGGTTAAGCGTGGCGCCCACGCGAAATGAGGATAAGGTCTCGAAACGGGTCTTCCTGGTGTCTTATTTTGTTTATTTAACCTTGTTACATAATAGTATTTTAATTTAATTAATATTGCTTTACTTCTTTTCATAGCTACCAGGGTGGTTATTTTAGTTTGCGGTAGCCTATCTTTGCCTAAGGAAGACGAAGAGATAATCCATCAAACGATATACCGTACGGTCAAAGAAAAAGGCAAAGGATTTATGGCTTGGTTAAAGGATGGAATACTGTCAGTAGACACGGATGTCTTGGCGCAGCTTCTGAGTCCCAACTTTACCATGTCGTTTGTGATGTCTGCAAGCAGCCCTCAAGGGGTTGCTCAAGGAGAAACCAATCTCCCCTCACATTCCTATGATCAGCGACGTCACGTAGAACAGCCACCAGGAAGAAAACCCGGATATGGGTGGGAAAATGAGAATATGCAGCAGCAACGAGTGTCTCTTCCTGCAGCTGCAACTCCAACCTACGTATACAACACCATAAACAATTCTGTTAAAGGAAAATTGGTGCTTAAAAGCAAATTACGCTATGGCAATATATCACTCGAATCAGCAGATCTTGAAACGCTTTGCGAAGAATTCTGGGAAATCCCTGATGAAATTGCTCAAGGTTTTCAAAAAACACACAAACACATCGATGAGAAACAAGTTAAAATTTTGTCAGTCCCAATTCATAACTCACACTTAGTTTACATCGGTGACCTAGGAATAGAGATGGCCGACAATGACTTACTCTTATTAAAAACTCGTGTTAACAATGGTTTGGTATCTTTTCATGCCAGTGACATTGAGGTTCGTTATCCCGAAGATTGGCAAGTCCCTGAGAACATACTTGAGGACCTGAAAAAGAACGGATCTAACGGCAAGCTCTTTATCATTTTGGACGAAAAAGGAACTTTGAAATGCACAGTAAAGAAGGCAGTAAAGGATCGAGTAGCTGGAGCTGTGGCTTTTTTTACGTCGAAGATAAAATCATCAAGTAAAACAAAATTTGCTTAGCCAAACTCAAAAGATGGTGGCTTTGTCCAGGCTCTCAAGGATGATCAAGTGTGACACTTGTCATGAACGTTAGTGAAGAAAACCTGGAATATTTTATTTCTTTGTTTAATCTCAAGTCTGTTAAAGTTTAGCAGACTATGAAAGTGAAGCTTTCATTGATGTTTTGGGGTGGTGCAGTTAGTGAAAACATTCTATGGAACGCTATAACTGTGTTATAATAGGTTTATGTTCTTATCTGTGGTGCTTCTTTCGTAAAACGGAGTCTTTTAGGTAAAAAATGTGGTTTTAGTCTTCTCTCTAAAGTCACCATAAGCCAATCATGACTCACGATTTAATAGCTACGAACTTTCGCAAAAATCAGTTTAGTCAAACAACAAACAAACGGTTTTGTTTCTGGCTCGTGTTCCTGATGCCGGTTTTTGTATGGGTTTACCTGTATAATAAACCATAGGTTTTTGACCAATCAGATCGCGCGTACTATCTCTTTCAGTTATTTCATAAACCATCATATTCAGTGCTCTGGTCGCTATAACTGGTGCCAGTGACCTTATACTGGGCTCTTTATGCAAGGTAATCGGTACTTTCCACATTATACCCGATATGCAAGCCATTATACTCACTGCTAACCCCTTTATACTCGGTGCGTTTGCCATTATATTCGGTGCTTAGATCAATTTTAGTGGTGTGGGTTCTTTATACTTGGTGGCTAGTTTCCCATGCTCAGTGCTTTTTCTGTAGTCAGTTTGCACCCAGACTGTGAGCTGTATCTCTTTTGCTCTAAAATCTGTGAACGAGTGCGACAAAATTATCACTGAATTGTGCGAGTATGCGAGTTGTGCGGCTGTCATTAATTAAACAGTACTGTACAATACCTACACCGATCACGGAAAACAAGGGTAAACTAAACATTATCTGGAACAATGCGACTGCTTAATGCCTCACGGATTCTCAACGAACTGAGATACTAAGATTAACTCAGTCGCGTTCAAAGTGTTGCAACTGAACTAAAAACCTTAAAGGAGATAGCTCCTCACGATTGTCGGTATAGTTTTTAACAAAATATCATATTGCTCTACCCAATTATCTTTCAGTTTTCCACAAGAAGCCTTAAAAACTAAGGGCATCTTTATTCCCTAAGGACTGGAGTGGTCGAGAACGCTTTGGAAACTAGCGACTAAATATAGACAAAAAAGGAGCCTCATGTACCGTCAACTCGTGAGAACCTCGATTCATGCATAATAATACCTGAGTGACCACGTTATCTTCCAAACTACCGGAAGGTCTGAGTTTTAATGGATTTAAAGTCTTGAAACATTGAAGGGTTTGAAAACTGTTAAATTTTGCACGTTTACACCCAAATTAGCGTAGCCTGGTTTACAGATTTGAATCCCTTTTCTATCTTATTATTTTCCTTTGTGTTTTAAACTATTTTCTGGACCGGCATAGAGAGAGATGGTATTCGCTTAAACAAGTTAAAGGCTTAAGAGATTGTAGAACAGGTTGGTTAAAAGAAATGCGAAAGCATTACATAAAGAGACGACAACTGGAAGTTTTGTACAGTATTTCAAATGATCATATTATACAGTTGTGCAAATAGTGATAGGTTATAATTATATTGTGTTGTAGAATCATGTTTATTTAGCTTGGTAAGAAACAACCGCTGTTTAGTCAACGTGATAACAAAAGAATTAATGAAACCAAGTAGCTCGTTAATGGGCGGCAATGCATTAATGCATAAGCACTTCCTAAAAGACCCACCGGTCTTATTTGTCACGTGTTTGCAATCGACTGCATATAAAAGGAGTTCTCATTATTTTTCAAACCTGAAAAAGTTTTCTTAAAATCAAAGGAGACCTGTTAAGAATACTTTGTTAGAATAGGAAAACTCCAACGAGAATGACTATAAAGGTTGGTTTAAGAGCTTCTACCATTGCCTGCAAACGGAAAAGAAACAATGGGAGCTACGTAGGTCAAGTGATCGTCACCGCACATCTTACCGTTTGTTAAAAATAATTATTGTAGAGTGTTTTATGCTGTTAAAGTTCAAGACATTTTAAAATGAAAATGAATAAAGTCTCTGCTAGAAATCGATCTATTTTGTCATAATAAAATTTCTACAACTGAAATGTCAGAATACACGAAAAGTTAAAAACACGCGATGAAAAAATAGTTTTCAGTCAAGATTAAAACTGATTTAGTTTGCAACAGTTTTTGTGTCAAAATGAACGGTATTCCACAATAGGGAGAAGTCGTTACGTCATGTTGCCATGGTAGCTTAATTTCTTATGGCCCGGGTTTTTCAAAAGTTGGATAGCGCTATCCACCGGATAAATTGCTATCCAGCAGATAAGTAGTACGAAAACCAATTGCGTTATCCACTGATATTGATTCGTCCAGTGGATAGTGCTATCCACCTTTTGAACAAGTGGAGCCTGGATCTGAACAAACCGTTGTCTTGTAAATATTGCAGAAATAAAAAACGAAAAAAATCACATGTATGACTTTCCTGTGCATAATTCCACACAGGAACAAAACGGTAGTTACCGGTATTTTTCTTCCACCGTTCGACAATGCAAACGACCGTCTCTGTGAAGAAAGATTGTTGAGATCCACAAATGTTGCTACCGGTAACGTGAAGTCACGCTTCTCCTCTCTATTGAGACGCAAGAACTCTGAACTTGAGGTCCCCATATCTGGCTAACCGGTGTAACTGTTCTTGGACCTTTTGCAACCGCGTAGAAGATGATAAGGATGGAGAAGGTTGCATCGTAGAAATGGCTTATCCTAATTAATTCCTTAACTTCATCTTGTGTAGCTATGCCACTAAACCTATCAAGAACAGAAACGGCTCCGCCCTACATCCGTAAAATAAGTTGCCCCTATCTAGCAACAATGAGTAGTCAGGCATTTTTCACAGCACAGCTTCATTATATGTGTGTTTTTTCCCTTGGCAAGACCATATCAATATTTTTCAGAAAGTTACTTTAACTCTAAACGAAAGGTAAAAAAACATTTTGAAACAGAAAATTCCCTTTCAAGGCGTTGTTTTAACTCGTTTGAGTTATTCATTTACCCTTTGTTTGTAGTCCGATATGATCTACCCAAGAGCGGATAACTAGCCTGGGCTTTGTTCTCTCCCTCTCTCTCTCTACCACACATGGAGGTACACCCTTTCTGGAGATGAAACAGCTTCAAAAAAATTAAACCTCATGTAAAAGGTTGCTAATTTATTTTTTAACTCCACCTGATAGGAGCTATTGTAGGTTAGCATAAATTCGGGCCCCGTATATAGAAGTAATAACCCTATCTTGTCTATAGGGCGCTCCCACAATGAGGCTCCTGCATTTCATAAGTAGGTTGAGTATGATCGTCCGGGTGAACGTAGTGTTGAATAGGACTGTTGTTGTTGACAGTGACTAACGTTTGGACAACCTGACTGTGCGGCTGTCATCTTCAGTGTCATTTGACTCTGAAGATGACAGCTGTACAGGTTTTATTCAACCTACTTATGAAATGAGGCTCCTGTCTTACTGTAAGACTTCTCACGAGGCCATCATGACGACTTTAATGAACGTTGACAATCCGACCAAGAGGCCAGGACGATCTAGGGCATCTTTCTTCTACCACTAGGACTATGTCACCAACAGCGAAACTCTCTCTCGAAAGATTTAACTCACTTTTCTTGTTTAGCTTGTAATTGCGGTAGGAACTCGCGAGTCCAACGACGCCAGAATACTTCAGCGAGATATTGAGCCTGTCGTCATCTCCTTCGAGAGTCAGGTTTCTTCTTTGCTGAACGGAGCTGGGGAAAGGCAAGGTCCTGACAGAAGGAGTAGTAAATGATTCGGTGTAAGCGCTTCACAATCACTAGGGACGTCAGAGGATTTCGTTATCGGCCTGCTAATTGACGATCACCTGAACTTCACACATAACTTCCCTGTCATTCTGGATCCTCCGGGTTAAGAGAAGAAAGATAATTTTTCTGTGATGGGCACTGTCAGGCTATCATTCAACTTATCACTCTCTTCCGTTTCTTGAGGAGTAGAAGTTGGCAGTTGTCTGGACAAAGATAATGAAGGAGAGTTTTCCTTCACAAAAGTACACGCTTTCCCTCGCCACGGCTTTCGCCAGTTCAGTTTCGATCCTCAGCTTTTCCTTCTTTTGCTGCAGCAATAATTCATTTTTCTGGATAGCTTGCCTTTCCTGTAACAAGGAAGCTTCCGCCGCTAAGAATGCTTTTCTCGCCGAAGCCTTCAATCTTGCGCTTACGGTTTAGCTCACTCTCGAGGGACTGGAGCTAGCGACGAATTTCGACTTGTTTGCTTTTCTCGGAGATCCGGCTTCCACATTGCCAGTTGAGTCCTCTGATCGAAGACTGATCGAAATTGGCAGCTCATCTTCAATTTTAGACTGTGCAGATTGTAGCCACTGATCTATTTCTCCAGTCGTTCCTGAAACCATGCGCTGTACTGAAGCGAAATACTCTTTAGATCTTGGATGCCAGTTTCTTTCGGAGTTCGGCGTGATATTTATTGTGTGCAAAATTAAAATCCCTTAACGATGATTCTAGTTCTAACATCTTCTTCCGCAATTCTCCCTAACCTGAGTAGTATACATGGCTCAACTAGGTAGTAACCAATAAGAGCGCAGAAAAGACAATGAGGCTATTTTTTGGGGGGTCACGTGCCTCATTAGCAAGGGACACGTCATCGATTTGTTCACGTGACCCATTCCGACCAATCAGAAAGCAGCAAAAGAGTTGCATGGTTTAACCCCAGGCCCTTCGCCGTCGAGTTGACGGGGTTAGCTTGTGCGTGCGTGAACCTCAAACTGCGCCCCAGTCCCCTCGCATGGGTGGCAATATCACCGAAAAAAGAGGGTGTTAAATGGAACCTCGAACGGATGCAGATTCCCCCAGAAGTGTCCCCAGATCCCTCGCATTGGGAGGGATGAGTGATGACGTCACCGGAAGTGACAGGACAGCGCGACCGGAAGTCAATAAAAACACACTGTATTTAGGTCAAAATCATGTTTTTTTGTTTAATTTAAACTCGAAAGGTACCTATTTACATGCGGGACATAGCCGACGTCCTAATGACGTCGCGCCCTTAAACTGTTTGGTATATTTACACAAAAAAGATCCTGTAAAGGCCACCCCTGACCAATGATGAAGTGCTTTAATATCCAATGAGTGGCTATGAAAGGTAAATAATTAGGGTCTTAATAGATGTAATAGGCTGGTCCATCCGTGATGATTGACAATAGTAAGTGTTCCTTTTATGGGCCAGCCTTGAAAAATCATGACTCTTTCGAGTATCCAATGGTTATCTATTGAACAAAAAACATATTTTTGGTGTGAAAATACGACCAAGAAGGGGTGGCGCCACCATGCAACCTCCCCTTTCTTGGTTTACAAAGTGTCCAACTCAAAACCATTCTTGTTGTTTAAAAATTCGCAGCCCGCACAGGGTTCACAGAGCGTGGAAATGTGCCGTAAATGAATCCAACATAACTTGTAAACCAAATACAATTGGCCCGTCAGGTTAGTCGCTCGAAACACACTGTGTCTCAACATGTAGTGAGTGCCTGAAAAAGGGAAGGAAGGAAAATCTTCGGTAGCACGAAACGACAATCTGAGGGAAAAAATGAAACATTTTTAAGAGGGATCATAACCCAAATCATGTAACGTGCCGCACCAAAAACATAAGGGAGTTACATGCGTGACACAGCGAATATTCAACTGACATCGTTGACAGATCAATTGCAATGGACGCGGGGAAGGAACTATAATCCCCGGACCATGGTACCATTGCAAGACAGAACCATAACACCATTCAATCCTTGTTCCATGAACCCTGTGGGTGCGGAGAATCGGATGACTCCCTAAAAAGAATTACAAAGGCGAATCAAACATTGAACAGTACTAAGGTGAAGTCTATATTATAAGGGTTTGATCCAGCCGCCATATTGGTTTAACGTGGAAAGCAACCCTAAAAAGAAGTTGTAACTACCGACCGTCGTCAGTTTATTTTATTCTATTTGTTTTATTTCCCCCCCTTTTTTTTTTTTTGTTTTTATTTCATATCTGCGTTTTGGTTCGCACTTCCGGTCACATGATAGTCATGTGACCGGAGAGCACATGGTAGAGCTAGGCGCCATTTTTTGTTGTTGTTTTTCTGCAAGAGCAAACAGTTCTTCAACGTACAAGTATAAGGACACGTACACTGTATATTTAAAGTGACATCTTTGGTGCAAGTACAGGAAGCAGTATTCAGGGAATAAAGTGCTTTAATCAGGGTTCAATTTGTGGAACTCACAGTTGAAGAACTGTTCGCCGAATCGATTGATGTTTGGGTTATCAGGGAGAACACAGCTTCGACGAGTTTGAATTTCATTGACGGATTTGGAACTTGCTTTCAAGGAAAGCACGGCATCAAGTAAGGATTTATCTGTTATTTTTTCGCATTTGCATTTGGATCGTTCTGTTCTCAGGGAGAACATTTATTTGACAAGAATTTGTTGTGATTTGTCGCATTTGGAACTTTGTCGCGTTCATTGGAATTGTCCACATCTACGGATTATTCAAACTTACGTCTAGTTCAATTCTTCGCGGAGAACGATATTCTAACAGGGATTGGTTCTTATTTACGTCTGGATTTGTTGCTCATTCAAGTGTGTGGGAACGTTTGGATCGTTTTGTTCTCAGGGAGAACATTTATTTGACAAGAATTTGTTGTGATTTGTCGCATTTGGAACTTTGTCGCGTTCATTGGAATTGTGTCCACGTCTACGGATGATTCAAGCTTACGTCTGGTTCAATTCTTCGCGGAGAACGATATTCTAACAGAGATTGGTCTT